TTTTGGCAGAAGCATTCAACAGAACAAAATATGTGGTGCATTTAGGATGTCGGTCCTCTTGTGCATGTTGCCACTGTTAAGGTCATGAGACTCACAGTGACTTTCAGGAATCCATTGCATAGGTAATCATCTTCTTCGGCCTGTCCAATGCATAGGTAATCATCTTCTTTGGCCTGTCTAAAGCATAGGTAATCTTCTCCTTGGCCTGTCCAATGCATAGGTAATCATCTTCTTTGGCCTGTCTAATGCATAGGCAATCTTCTTCTTTGGCCTGTCCAATGCATAGGTAATCGTCTTCTTTGGCCTGTCCAAGGAGACCCAAACCTGCAGATGGCTGTCATGCATCCCATGCCCCACCTCCTCCACAGGTTGCCAGCGGGGCGTGCGACCCCACCAGCGCAGAAGGCCTGCGGGAGGCACGCGGCCCCCCCCAGCACAGGCGGCCATTGGGGGCACACCCCCCACCCCACGGGCGCTTGGCTGGTGTGCAGCCCCTCTTGTGCGGGCAGCCGGAGGGCGCCTGCTTCCCTCACAGCCACCATCCTGGCTCCAAGAATTCTCTCCAGACCAAGTCCACCTTGCGGCAGTGTGGTGGCTTCACTGTACCAGTCTTGAGGAGGGTCAGTGCCCAGCATCCATCCTGGGTGAGGGAATCCATTTGTTCCGGCTGTGGAAGCCTCATGGAACTGCAGTGGCTGTGTGGCACAGCGAGGGATCTGCGGGGGTGGGGGGAGGGGGGGGCTTGGGAGCCACGAGACTCACCCATTTCTCCTTGGGAATCCTTGAATTCCTGTTGTTGAGCCTCGATCTTCACTGAGAGCCAGTCATCAACTGTTTAAGCATTCAATTATCAATAAGCTGAAGTCTGTGGAAGGCCTTAACGGCCCTACTTTAAGTGGTTCACTGCTCCCTCAGCTCACCACGCTGTCTCTGCCTCTGCCGCCATCTTGGATCTCCCACAAATATATTCTATAGAGTCACTTTTATTAAGATATAAACAAGACAAAGACACACAAATCACTATGAAATGAGAGGAAACATCACTGTGGTACTGAAAGTATTATACAGACCCTATCCAAGCCTTCCATTTACAAAATTTGGAGCACTGCTACAAATGAGACTACCAAAGGGAACAAAAGGCCATGACTGATAAGAGTATTGAACTAATAAGGATTATACATCAATATTTTAAGTAATGTTATGATGAAATAAGGTTTTGAGAGACTGAATTAAAAGCCCATTTTCTCTGTAAATTGATACTTAAATTACATTTTTTTAATAAAATGTATTGTTTTGAAAGTATATCCTTTGATTAAGAGTTGTTGTAAATGTTATGTACCATTAAGTCAACCACAATATTCACAATAGCTCTGAAACCTGCTCTATCCTAGATCAATCTCATTACTTCTGACATACTTTCTTACCCCAGTTACCGTGTCACTCCATCTTATACAGGGTCTTCTTCTCCTGCTCTGTTCCTCCACCCTTCCAAATAAGATATTCTTTTCCGGGGACTGATCTCTCTTGGCAACATGCTCAAAGTATGTGAGACAGAGCCTCAAAATCCTTCCCTTCAAAAAACAGCTTGACTTCACCCTGTCCAGGAAAAAACAGACCTGTTACTTCTTTTGGAAGTCCATGGTGTGTTCAGTACATTTCTACAGTACCACAACTGGAAGACATCAATTCTTCTTCTGTCATCTTTGGTCATTGTCCAGCTTTCTGATGCATAGTGAGCAAAGACCATGGCCTAAATCAGGCAATCTTAGTTTCTAGACTGACATCACCACTGTTTAGTAATCTGGTGAGGTCTGTGACAGCAGATTTTTCTAATGCATTTCGTCTTTTAATTTCCTGACTGCTGGTGCCAAGAATGTTGATTGTGGATCCAAGCAAGATAAAATTGTAAACAATCTCAAACCCTTTTCCATCTATCATGATTGCTGCCCATTGACCTAGTGGTAAGAATCTTCATTTTCATGATATCAAGCTTCAATTCATATTACAGACTACAGTTCTTGAACTTCTGCAGCAAATAATTTCAGCCCTTCTCAGTTGCAGCAAGAAAGGTTGTGTCAGCTATATAATGCAGGTTTTTGATGAATTCTTCCTCTGATTCTGATGCCACATTCCTCCTCATGAATGCTCTGTTCTACATATAGATTGAAAATGTATGGAGACAGGATGCATTCTTGATGTACTTCTTTCTTGATCTTGAATCACACTGTTTCCTTGTTCGATTCTGACAACTGCCTCCTGGTCCAAGTACATATTTAATAATTAAAGATGTCATTAGATGACAACTCTACAAAGGAGAAATAGGAAAGACTAAGATTGTTAAAACACCATTACTTAATAATTAGAGCTTATAGGTTTTAGTAGCCAGCACTTCATTTCACTTACGTGGTTTTGGAGTCTCTATTTGCTGTTGAACTATCTTGTTTCTCTACTAGGCAACATCTTCAATTCAACTCTTTTATTTCCTGTTTCCTCTTGGCTCTTTGGTTCGCAAAGTCAATTTTTATGTTTCAACACTGATAAATTAATGTAGATACTATTTTCTTTTTGCTTGTTCAAGAAAAATCTCTTACAGGTTTATGATAGAACTTCATGATACCTATTTAATTAAGGAAAGAATGTGATTTATAGATTTTTTAAATTATCATTATATATAAAATAAATGGACAAATCTGATCACAAGGATACAAAGTAAAAAATCCTGTCCCTTCTCTTAAGTTGCTTAATTTGTGTTTTTTGAAAATGGTTTTTAAACAGGAAGGATTTTTGTCAAATGCTTTTTCTGCATCAGTTGCTAAGATAATATGGTTCTTGTTATTTACTTTGTTAATATGGTGAATTACGTTAATTGCTGTTATTATGTTGACACATCTTTGCTTACCTGCTATGAATCCCAGTTGATCATGATGAATTACTTTTTTAAAATTTTTATTATTATTATTATTAACTTTAATAAAAATT